GTGTGTGTGTGTGTGTGTGTCTGTGTGTGTGTGCGTCTGTGTGTGTGTGTGTGCGTCTGTGTGTGTGCTGCAGTAAGTTTTAATAAAGGAAATGAATTCATACTGTTCATACTTTGTACTTCAGAGAGGTCATTTTTCATTACAAACATCCAGTGTCTTAATGAACTTAGCCCCCAACAGAGTGTGTGTGTGTGTGTGTGTGTGTGTGTGTGTGTGTGTGTGTGTGTGTGTTTTTAATGAGTGTGTGTAGCGTAGCCTTTGTTGTGGAAGATAAGTCGGTGACAGAGCTGAAGGTCAAGCAGGGCAGAGAAGAATGAGGAAAATGCAGCGTTGGCCGGGCAGACAGACAGACAGACAGACGGCTCTGAGATGAAGCTCAGCTGTGGACAGATGCAAGGAATCATGGGAAACAGATACCTTCAAAGTCACACAACGCTGGTACTGTACGAAGGAGCGTTTTTCCTCGGTGCTGACGGACGTTATTCAGCCTTCAGTTCAAACGTCTGCCTGAACTGTGATGTGTCCACAGCTCGCTCACGGCCACAGTGAACTCACCTGTGTGCTCGTGTACGTGTTGTCTTTGCTTGCGCTGAGAACCGTAAGCAGCTCTAGCGTCTGAAGTCAAACCATGTTTAGTTCCCGCCTCCCTGGACCGCAGAGACTGAGCTCGCTGTGTTCCTGTAAACGACACGAGAACGTCCGGTCTCTTCTCAGACGTGAAAACGTCCTGCGACTCGTTCACGTTGGAGCAGGACGGCGCAGAGATGTCACGTGACAAACATACTCCAGCTTCTGAGTTAAGTGCCGCTGTGCGGTCACAGCTTCTGCCTGTCTCCATCAAAGACCTGGATGTGTTTAATTATCGCCTTTACATCTGACCTTCTATTAATAATCCATCGATCGATAAGTCAAACTTCTCGAAATCTCTGAAAATCAACACTTTGATGTTCTCACGCACACACCTGGGTGCTCACAGTAAATGTGTGTGTTTTGTAGTCCGGTTCACAGAGAGGCCTGCAGGAGAAGAAGAAAAGAGCCTGGCTCCTCTGAGGTTTCACCAACTTCCTGCTTTAATCACAGCATCCTCTCAGTGAGTCACTGGCATCGATGCAAACGCTGCCTCACTGGCATCTCTCTTCCTCTTTGACTCTTTTTCTCTTTATCAGCCTTTCGCTGCTTTTATTTCCTTCTGTAAACCTTTTCATCCCCTCCCGCTCCCCCCGAACCCCATCTCTAATCTTAAGAGCAGTCAGCACTTTGTTTTTCTGATAACGTCTGATAGATAAACACGCTCTCTTATGTCCCCGGGGCCCTCCGCCCTCTCTCCCGAGAGCACACCCCTCTAAAGCACTTCCTCTGCTACAATTAGTCCGTAATAAATACACCCTGGCCTTAAAGCACACATGCACGCTGGCTCTCTGTCTCTGCTTTTATGTAAAGTGCCGCATTAGCTCTGCGCGCACATCTGAGCTAAAGGGAGAGAGAGCTGACGCCGAGCGCAGCGTTTTTTCTTCCTCGCCGGCCTCGGCGACAGCGCGTGAGAACAAAAGCAGTTATAAGGCCACTAAGAGATATTCGAACATATGCAGAGAATTGCAAGCATTTCCACTCGAGTCTCAGCTTCCTGATGGCTTTGATAAGATTAGTTTGCTTTCTTAAACAGGAAACGTGCTGCTTAAAGACAACAAGGCGACGCACAGCTGCACAATAACTTTCTTCTTCTCAGAAAGCCAAAGTTTTGCTTCCTCGCAGCCGACAAAGAAGAAGAGGAGAGACTTTATCAAAGTGATGGAATAAAGAGAGATTTAACACGGTCATATTAAAAAGACATGCAGCAGTTTCAATATTTAAAAATCCCATTTGCTTCGACAGAAGAGCTTTTTCATTGAAGAGCATATGGCAGCAGTACCTGTATCCATCCAGCCTCTCTCTTATCTCCCTCATAGAAAGAGAAAGGGGGGGGGGCACTTTCAAACAGACATTCAGACATTGAAGAATCATTCAATTATCGGCAGCATGATGTAAAATAATTACCTGACTCGCTTCCTGTAATGAGTGCTGCTAATTAGCCATAGACTTTTGTTTCACTTGGAAAAAGAAAGAGAAAGTCCCAAACTCCCAGCGCAGAGAAGCTGTGAAACAGATATGTTGCATGTTGCGGTGGGTGCGTGCACGCTATAGGATGGGCCTGCCTCCCCGAGTCTGCACACGCAGCTCTCGGTAAACAGTCGAGAGTGCAGAAAAGATCCTTCTTCTCTTAATTAGCTGTGTAACAATTAAAGTCTCCTCTTAGTAAATTGAACCTTTGTCTCCCTCGCCTCCCTCGTTGGATTTCAGCACCTGTCACAACAACCCCTCCCTTTACCACCACCTCTATTACCTCCACAGCCACCCCCCCTCCGCTGGAGTCATTATGCAAAACTCCACCAGAAAGCGCCCAGCGTGAGTGGAAGAAAACAGCAATTATTTCTGATATTCTGTTATTTAGGCCGTATTGACATTCAGCGACTTTCTCTTCCTCTGCGTTTGCCTCGCCCTCGCCACCGTCACCTGAAAATCACACAGAGCCTCGACGCCACTGACGATTAGTCTCAATCCCGAATCAGGCAGGTCATCGCCGCCGCGCCCCGCGGTGACCCACACATTCTCCCCGAGTGTGTGTGTGCAGCATTGAAATGCAGCACAGAGAGCAGCCAGTGATGTAAGCTGTGACAGATACACTGTGGTCATTGTCTCTCTGTCCTCTTTCTAACCATGCGTGAGCGCGCTACACTGCCATGTTTGTTGTCCGACACACACACACACACACACACACACACACACACACACACACACACACACACACACTGAACTGTGCCCTGGTTTTTCTGACTGATTTGACAGGAAGAAGAGCTCAGTCACCGGACACCGAGCAGGCCGCAGCACGCAGGTACATCACTGGACATTTTGAACCTCACCCACGCAGTTCTTTGCGTTTACACCTGTGCTCACATATGGAAGCCAACCACGGATGATAAACAGGAAAACTGTAGATACCAGAGATGTGCTTCATCAAAAAATGGTTACGCAAGAATATCAGAGAACACGAGGAAGAGGAGGATCGGGATATGATGGAATAATCGCAGAAGGAGCTGCGTGAGAGACACGGCGATCACGTCGAGTCAGAACCTGAAAAACAGCTTTCGAACTCGGCTGAATGTTCCCTCTGCTCCCTGCACGTTTGTGTTCAATAACTGCTCTGGTCACCCATAGGTTCGTTTCTTCCACCTGACCATGGCTGCTCGCACGCTGACCTCGTGGTTAGGAACCCCGGTCATGTTTAGTACGAAGGAAACTGGATCCACCTTAAAAACACGACATCCTGACTGAACCAGGACAAGGCGCACAGAGCCGTCTGATGCATGAGAACCATTTTCACATCATTTACTACATTTTCCTGTTTTGTGTCTCTGCTCGCCGGCCGTACCCTCCCGCTGCTTAGCGAGTGTTTGACACTGTTAATCCCGTGCTCATCGCTCGCCTTTGTTGGCTGCTGCAGGGGTCCAACCGTGCCGCTGTGACCTCTATTGTAGTGCGCTCAGGAGGGGAGAGGTGTTCACGCACACACACACAGACATCTGCAGGTCATCATCATCATAGTGGGAATAATACCAGGGATGGTTATCATAAAGGGAGGCTTTGAGCTCCCGGCCGTCTTGGGAAGATGATTTGGCCGGCCCGGAACAATGAACTGTGGGAATCCGCTTGTCCCGCATTGATCTTCCTCCCATGGCATCCCCCGCAAGGCTGTCAGAGCGCCGGATGGATAAAAAGAGCCACAACATTTTTCTTTCTGTGCCTCCCGCTCCCTCCCGGTGTCTTTCTTTTCTCGCTGTCAGGAGGGCCCTCGCTGATCAGCGGGGATGAGCTGAAAGTTGAACTACCTGTTGACAGGACCTCTTAAACAGCCCTCAATGACATATTGTGCAGAGAGGGAGGGAGAGGCTCCTGTTCACTCAGTTTGTCACAGCTCTTGTGCTGTCTGTGCTGAAGTGGAGCCGGATCGTGTTAATCCACTCGTGTTCTTATGATTCTTTCAAGTTCAAGGAGCTCTGTGGAAAACTGCTGTATATTAGTGTAATGCCGAGCTGACTGGGATCGGTGTAAACGTCACGTTCTTTTTACGCAGACGTGTCTTTGTATTAAAAGCACCCGTCCTCTCGCGGGCTCCGGGTCCCGGCCCGCCGGCCTCGGGTGGAGCTGCGCTCGAATCTGGCAGGTGTTCTGCGACTGTTTCTGTGTGCAGTTGAGTGCGGAGTGTTTTTGCCTCATTACAGAAAGTAATAATGCGGCAAAGTCAAAGTGCGAGCGAGAGGAAGGAAAACAAGGCGGCTTTTTTATTGGATTAATTAGACATCTCGCAAAGACCACCTGCAATAGAACAAAACACGAGCCGGGAACAAACTCATATGTGCAGCGCTCGAACCAAACCGTCTTTTGCCAAGAGGTAATTGATCTTTGAAAAGATGAGGAAGCTCTGTTTGTACTTTGAAAATACACTTAGAGCTTTTTAATGAACCCGACTGTCCCCGCCGCTCGCCTAATCGCCAAATATTTAGCACGTGAGGATCATATGGCCCACGTTGTCCCTCCGACATCAGAGCGCCGTCGCCGCGGCCCCTGCGTCTCGTTAACGATTCGGTGCAGATATGATTGAATTCGGCACATTGTGAATAATGATTGATTTGTTTAACGCAATGAATTTGTTCATTAGGACTTAATGAGGTATCGCATTGTGATTAGTCGATGGGTTTCGTGTCGATAAATGCCAAAATAACAAAGTAAAGTCCGACTAATGGCTTTTCGATCCCCCCCCCACCCTTCTCGTCTTAAATGTCAGCCAAAAGTTTTCTGACAAAACTCGAGCCTGACAGCAAATTCACCAAGAACGCTGTTTATTTGAATATGAATTCATAACAGGCGGCCATCCCTAATGCTGCGAGTGCCTTTCATATGCAATAATTTATATGGTTGCAATTAGAGAGGAGCACATTTAAATCCTGTATGCATTTATGATGCATGCTACCATTGATAAGAAAGAAATGAACTGAGCACATTTAAATGGTGACTGTAATATACTTCCATTGTGTCACAGATACCACTTATAATTAAGCTGAGGATTGAAGAGAAACCAAGTGAAATCAGTTTGTGTGAGCGTGCAGAGGATTCGCCGTGTTTGTGAGTGCACGTGGAGCCTCGCTGAATATTAAACCACAAACTATAAAGACAACAAGCGAACCGTCGTGAGAAAATGCTAAAGGAAGTCTTTGTGGTTTTAGAGGTATCGGAGGAGCCAATAGTTTTAATGAGGCAGCGTTGCAGCACATGCCAGGAAATGATAAGGTCGTACAGGTTAGAGAATAACGGCACATGTACTGTAAGAGCACAAAGCTGGCGTTCGTAACGGAGTCTGCGGCGAGGGACGGCGGGGCCCCGAGTCTTTCCCCAGGATGGCCGGTAAGAACCCGAGTTCTCCTGTGACAGCGTCGAGCTGCTCGGTTTGGTGAGAGCAGCGAGCTGCAGCGCACTCGCCGCGTCTTTTAGAGGGCACTCGCATGTCGAATTGTTGTCTGTAGTCAGAGGCTCGTGTTTGACTGGCTGCGTGTCTACGGCTCGTACACCGCCCTCCAATTCCCCGCGCGCGTGCTCGTGCGTGCGGATGTGAGCAGAGGGGGGATGTCACATAAGAAATGTCCTTTTTAATCAGGGGAAAAAATATAAAATGACTCGGGAGCAAGGCGAGCATATTAATGTGCCTCATTTGCATACGCTCGTCAGCCAGGATACGTTTATAAAAAACACAAACTGGATTCGTCAGTTCATTTCACATTATTCCATTGTCTATCTGCCTTTGTTATATGTTAAAGATAAAGGCAGAAATCAAATTGAAGAAAAGGGCAAGCTGCTATCTCCCCAAATGAGCAACAGCTCATCAGCCTAGTTTAAATCACAGATTTCTATTCCAAAAGGCAGCCGCTTCTGTAAAAAGGGCCCATTCAAATAAGGTCTCCTCCAATATATGCACGGCTGCTGATGGAAGATGGGGTGTCACATAAATACAATTTAAAACCACAAGTCGTTTAAAGCAGCCTAACAAAGTTTGATCCTTCCCAGCAGTAATTCTCCCACGCCGTGGGAGCGTGTGTGATAAAACTATATGGTGACAAATTAAAGGAAAAACACCAGCTTGTGTGAACAAGCTTAGCTTTAAAACAGACTGTACGTAAAGGATGGACACCGATCGGTTCCTGGTCTGAAAGAGTGTGACGTTTTGGTCACCATGGTTGATTAAATCTTTTTGTTTTCAAATTTAGACGAGAGGGTGGAGCGGTCAGCTTTGTTCGCACAGTGTGTATGGGAGCATCAGGCCACGCCCATAATTATGCACGCTTAAATCTGGGTGATTTCTGAAGACACCCTCCCCCTGTGCAGGTGTCGTGAAGTTTGTGTATCAGGCTGTAAACATGGTTATTTGTGCTGCTTCAACACGGGGGTCTGTGGGGACTGACTCACTGCTGCCCCTGCTGGATGTCGGACGAACTGCAGGTCTTGGTTCATATTTCAGACCTGTGGTTGATTAAAAGAATATTAGATTTTTATTTCCAATTTGCTAAAAACAACTTTTTTTCATGCATGAACTGAAACGAAGGTAAAAAAAAAGGCTTGATTATCCTAATTATTTGACAACCTCTGAACAAAGTGATATATTTATCGTAACTGTCATTGTATATCATAATTCACATCATTTAGCGCCTTATGTTCCAGTTATCAACGTGACGAGTGACCTTTAAATTCAACAGTATTGTGTTTTTAAGCATGTGCTTGAACGAACAAATACAGGAAAATATAGAGATTACATTTCTGTAGAATGATTTTAAGTGGAACAACAGCAAGACAAAGATTGCTTTGAAATGACAGCAGTGACAGGAAGTAGGTACATTTTCACAAAAAAATCAGGTTTGTGGTGCAGATCGGGCAGATCGTCACGGCAGGAAGGTGAGCGCTCAAAACGGACCCGGCACCGTCTCACAGCCTCTCAGCTGGACGGGTCACACGTTCAAGGTTTTCCTTTCATTTGTGGCCAGTCTGGAAATATTTCATTCAAGCACAAACTTTTTATTAGCAGGCTCCTAAAGTGATTTCTTTCAGCGTCACTCGGGTCAGATAAGATCTGTGACAGAGCACATCGAAGTGCTGTATGCAAGCCTGCAGAACATAGCATAGCCATTATACTCTTAATGAATTCAGGCGCATTGCTTTACGATACTTGTGGGGAGAAATAAGGAGAATTCAAAGGGCAGCCCACAAGTGTCACATTCCTTTACACACAAGTGGAAAGTGGCCACAGTGTTTAATTCATGTCAGCGAGATAAGAATCCACCATCGGCAGTGTGTTGGAGGACTCTGCGGTACCAGAACAGGCAGCCCTTATGTCTGCTGACCTCCTACTGGGAGGGGAGGGGGGGGTTGAATGAACACTTAAGCCGAGCACGACGTGGTGTAGTGTGTGCTTCACAAACGTAGGTGGAGAAAGAGAAGAAGGATCCCAGTGTGGATGCCCTTTGCTCCTGTGAAGAGTACGCTGAGCTTCCTAACATGCCACCTAGTGCCACTCCTTCACGCCGCCTCGCCTCGAAAGCGCTTTTTGATGATTATAATGCTACATTAAAGTCCAGTGGCTGCCGCTGTTACCCGGCAGCATGCTAATCAGCTTAATGAGATATCATACAATATTTTGTTGACCTAAGCAGAACCACACTTATTGTTTTGCAGGTTTGACCCCTGCAAGCAGCCATAGCTGCTTATACCTCTCCATCTGGAGAACAGATGGATGTGCATTAAAAGCACTGTTGTTTATTTATTTTTTACTTATGCATTCGCCGATGTTACACATACGGAATGAAAACACATTTAATGGCGTTACAACGCGGTGTGAAAACTGTGACATATTTCACCCAAAAGCCAGCAGAACAAAGAGCGGGCTGTCCACAGAGCAGTGTCGGTGTATCCACAGCATCTTCATGTTGTTTCCACCGTCCTGGAAACTGTGAAGAGCGCAGACAGCAAAGAGCAAAGCGATTCACATCAAATGTAATACGGCTCTTTAATGGAATATTGTGCCAAGACAAGTGTCGTGGCACCGAGATAAGAATGTTGTGTTTACTGGAGTAACCCCTTGGTTTTAAGTGCTATTGTTAATATCATAATTGTAGTATTGTCGTGGCTTCCCGGCAATGCAGTTGCTCCATTTCATTAAGGCGTGTAATTGGAGGAATTCTGATAGGATGGGCACAAGTAGCTTAATTATACACTGCTCACTGTGTTTACAGAGTAATTATTCCATCCAAAACGGCTTTACAATTTGAAAAAGTTCTGAGTCGCAGCATCCCCGCAGGCCTTCGGCGCTGACAGTTCACACTGGTGTTTTTATTTCACTAGGGCACCTATCCTGCTCCTCTCCAGCCCCACACTCATCCTTGGAGTGTCTTTACATGATTTTCAGTTCAAAACAAAAATCCTTTTTTATCTGATCCCGTGTCTCTATGACATCACAGAGATCCAAGAGCAGAAAAACTGAGTGTTTAGAGCATTACTTGTTGATAACGTGTACATACACCTGAAATATGACACAACTGGCATCCACATTTCCAGACACGTGGTTGGATGAACGGCCACACACTATCGTTGAATGTCTGTGAAATATTAAAATACGTCAAAAATGTTTCTAATACGTTTTTATTTTTCTGTTTCTTCAGGATGGAAGACTCTAGTTTATGTCTTGGTGTATCGTCAGTGGTGCCTGACGCTGAAGCCCACCTGAGCAATGCTGTTCTAAACGGCCGTTACCCAATCAGTCAAAAGCTTCACCAGCTCACTGCCCAGTTAGGACACGCCTTTCCCGACCTGCACCGCCCACAGCAGATTCCCGAAGAGAAGGCGGCCACGCCGTTGGATGAGAAGACACACCACGCAGCCCTGGCCAGTCAACCAATCAGCAGCCAGATGGCTCTACTAGCCAATCAGCTCAATCGAGACATAGACGCAGGGGCACTGAGTGGGTTAAACGGGCGTGTCGACCTGCAGCAGTTTCTCAATGGGCAGAACTTGGGCATCATGTCCCAGATGAATGATATCGAAGATGATGCTCGCAAGAACAGGAAGTACCCGTGCCCACTGTGTGGCAAGCGCTTCCGTTTCAACAGCATCCTGTCTCTGCACATGCGCACACACACGGGAGAGAAGCCATTCAAGTGCCCCTACTGTGACCACAGAGCGGCTCAAAAGGGCAACCTGAAGATCCATCTCCGCACCCACAAACTGGGGAACCTGGGAAAAGGCCGTGGCCGAGTTCGAGAAGAGAACCGGCTGCTGCACGAGCTCGAGGAGAGGGCCATCCTGAGAGACAAGCAGATGAGAGGGAGTGGCAGTCTCCTCCAGACCGCTCAGACGCCACATCTGGGCCCCAACAGCAGCTCAAACACCCATCAACAGCAGTTAGGGTCAACCTGCGCCCCCACCCATTCCTCCGGGCTCGCCACTCCAGACACAGTTTCTCAGCCGTCTTCCTCACCCAAGCCGGCCGGCGCTCAGGACGACCAGTCTCTGAACCCTACTGTGGGCTTCCGCTGCACCTTCTGCAAAGGGAAGTTCAAGAAGCGCGAGGAGCTGGACCGTCACATCCGCATTCTCCACAAGCCCTACAAATGCACTCTGTGCGAGTTCGCTGCCTCCCACGAAGAAGAGCTGATAAGCCATGTGGAAAAGGCCCACATCACAGCTGAGACCACGCAGGGCCAGGGTTCTGGTGGCTCCGGGGGCATGCAGATGGCCACCGAGTTTCGCTGCGAGGTCTGCGGCCAGGTGTTCAGCCAAGCCTGGTTCCTCAAGGGCCACATGAGAAAGCACAAGGAGTCCTTTGAACACTGCTGTCAAATCTGTGGCCGTCGCTTTAAGGAACCCTGGTTCCTCAAGAACCACATGAAGGTGCATCTGAACAAGCTGGCCATCAAGAACAAGCCACCCCAGCCCAGTGAGCAGGACATGGCCGCCGTCAACAGCATGAGCAATCTGGCTCAGGAAGCCCATGCCAACCTTTATTCCCGCTACATCTCCTGTCTTCAGGGAGGCTTCCTTTCACCAGACAAGCAGGGCCTCAGCGAGCAGCACCAGATGTTGGCTAAAGCGGGGATAGCCATGAAGGAAAAGGAGATGTTAGGAAAGCTGCTTGGACCCATGGCAGGTGCAATAGGCCACGGGCTAGGTGAAAACGAGAAGCGCTCACTCCTTGGCTGTCTCAACCTCGTTCCACCGCTCAAGTCGAGCTGCATGGAGCGCCTCCAGGCGGCTGCAAAGGTGGCAGAGATGGACTCGATCAATAGCTACCAAGCCTGGCAGATAATGGCTCGTGGAATGGCTATGGACAGGGCTTTCATGCCCAAGGATCAGCAGCAGCAGCACCATATAACGCCGGGGCAGGAAGATGAGATGGCTGGTGCGGGCTCCTTGGCTTCCTTCTCAAAGGAGAAACAAGACTACTCCTTGATTGCTTCCGGTGATAGCTCCAAGCAGAAGCAGCTCTCCGAGGCCCTGCAGGGATCCAAGGCTTCCAGTGGAGCAGTGATGTCCATGAAGGAGGATGGAAGAGGCTTTGACGGTCACCGTGATCTCATGTCCCACCACGGTAGTGCTGAGGCTCCTGGAGCCCTGGCTGGCTTGGGAAGCCCAAACATTGACTACAGCCTCTCCGGCCTGTCCGGCCTGAAGGAGAAGCCTTCAGAGTGCCCAGACTGCGGACGTGTCTTCAGAACCTACCATCAAATGGTCGTCCACTCGCGAATCCACGGTAAAGACAGGCGAGGCATTGACGAGGCACTTCAGCAAGGACTGGATGAACGCCGTGGATCGGCCAGTGACCCCGAGTCCCAGTCCATCAGCCGCTCCACCACTCCCGGTTCATCCAATGTGACAGAGGAGAGTGGCGTTGGCGGGGGACATTCCCAGACAGGAAGCATCCAGGACGACAGCCCCCATCCCTCCTCACCATCTTCAGGTAGGAGAACTACTTACTGAATCGACTAGAAGGCAGTGGAGCGAGCGTCCTCCATGTCTACCAGAGAAAGTGATGTAGATCTTTTCCTGTGATCCGCCTTTCTGTGAAATTTGATTTCTGTTCTAGTCAAATCTTTTAAACACATAAACAGCAGTGATCCTCAGCTTTTATTAAAGGAAGAAGACCTCGAGTGATGTTTGCTTTGGGTTTTTTAAGGCGGCTCAAATGTAAAAAAACCACATGGGATGCTCTGTTTGCTTACCTAATCTTAACCTTTAAGCTATCGTTAACCTAATCTTTGATGCTTTACATCATAGGTGTCAAACTCTGGCCCGTGGGCCAAATTTGGCCCGCAGCCTAATTACACTTGGCCCGTGAAGCCATACCAAATTACTATCAGAGCTGGCCTACTAGTATTATACAGCTAATATATATATTGTTTAGTATTAAGCTTTGCTTGTTTCATATTCAGTTTTTCAGCAAAACGTGTTTGAGTCCATAAGATTCATTCTCATATCTGGAGGAATAAATATATTTCAATAAATATTAACGTCAGGCCGCGACTTTGTTCCTGTTTTGAATTTTGGCCCACTGTGTGTTTGAGTTTGACACCCCTGCTTTACATGATGGGTACATGTTTTTATATATAAAAACAGCTGATGAATAGCAAAGCAAAGTGTGTTCTCATTGTTGACTGAGAAACTAGCGGTGCACGCGGCACATAGAGTCAGCTTTGCTCTGTTGTTTCTGCCATTAAGACTCCAGAGAACGCCATCGTGCCCGTTTGCGGGTTAGCAGTCTGTTTCCCGGGAGTGCGGGGACGAGCTCGTCTTAAGCACAGCGATTAATAAATGTCTTTAATAAACACGGCGGAGATGAGCGAACGCCTCCCCTTCCCCCACCCAGCCAACGCAGGCCGGCCGGGGCTAGATAAGTGTATGTTTAGTGGGATTAAGGGAGGCTCATTGCTAATGATTACACAAGTTTTTAAAGGTAACTTTTGGTTGCTCCTCAGGGCGCTACGCTGGCGTTAAGAAGCGCGTGCAGTAATTAGGTCACGAATACGCGATAATCAGTCGGTTTAAGCTAAACAAGACACTAATTAAAGATATACATATAAAGCAGGTCAAAAACATTAGCGAGCTTCATTTGCAGAAGCAAGGATGTGCTTTTAAGTCTTTTGAGAGAAAATATAAATATATATAAATATAAATCAGAGTGGCTTAGCTTAAGGCTGTAAGCAACTTAATTCCACCAGTGGAGACGAAATTGTTTATTTATTCACAGAGGCATGAAGTCCTTATCGTGCCCGTGTAGTGTGATGGGTTTGAACATGGGACAGGCTATGTTTATTTTAATCTAAGAAATAATAACAGACAACCCCCCACCCCAATTAGGAATTAATGAAAATGAGAGTGAGATAAAAACCTATTTTCTTTATAGAGACTATTAAACATAACACTTCTCAACAGGGTGGGGGTGTAGCGGATGTAATTATCTTCTGAATTTTAATGCTGGAAGTTTCTCCCCCTCTCTCTCCGTCCCTGCGTCTCTTTTGACTGGAGCACTTTGAATCTGACGAGTACAGCTTGTGGCATTTCAGCAACTTCAGAGGTACTGTACGCAAAATGAATAAATGCACAAATTCAAATAATAAAACTCGCCGTATTTACCGCCAAATGGTAGCGGAGAACAAAGGGTCGCATTAGATTTAGATGAGTGGTTAAATCTGGCCCTGGGGGCACCACCTTTGGAGGATTAAAGACAGAAACGTACGTAGAAAAACAAATTAAAATAGTGCGCGTTGCTGCGTGTGCGCCGCTCAGTCGCAGCGCAGCACGGCCGGGTTTGAAGCCGTGCAGAGGAAGTACGCAGACTGTGATGTGGACGGATGGAGTTTTTATGTGAAATTGAGAAGGAAACAGACTTGACATTGAAAGTGCTTTAACAGAGCCTCTTTTGCCACTTCCTGTTTTTTAATAAGAAGGAGCAGCAAACTTGACTCGTCGTTGTTCACAACTTACACAATATGAATCACGTTTGGAGCTCGGGGACTCTCAAATTAGAAGCTTTGATGTGTGAGAAAAATGTGTCTGAGTCTCATGTGGAGAAAGGTGTCATGCTTCTCCGCTGCATGCGTGTGTGCGTGTGTGCGGGGTTGCTTTGTTGCGTGTGTGCACATATCACTCTCGAAGAGTGAACAGGATGCCGTACTGTACCATTGTGTTAATATCTGAGGTTTGAAAAGCAGAGCTCGTGATTCTCTGTCGGCGTGTACCTGCGAGCATGTGTGCGTGCTCGCCTTCTACCCCGCCACCTACCCGCAGCAATTTAGAGTTAAACTTAAATTATAGTAATCAACAATAACATCTCAACTGTGAAAGAAGGTCAGCTCTGGCACTTTTGTCTTTGAGACGGCACTTGTTTAAAAGCAGTGCGTGCAGTGTGGAAGAAAAAGAGCAGAAAAACAAAAGCCTTTGTCAGAGATGTCCTTTAAAGACCTTCCTTATTAAACGCAGCTCTGCGGCACACCTTGAGCATCTTCCTTATTGAATATTTTTGAAAGAAACAAAGAGGTAATTACATATATGCCCATCACCATCCTTTTTTTTACACTTTTTTGTTTGGTTATCCTCGCGCCGACTTCCCCGTATTGTTTGCTGTGTGGGGAGGAAACGGCGTGCAGTAATCACGTTAGGAAGCCTCAGCAACAGGTAGCGCTGCCACGAGGACCCGGTGCCACGAAGGCACCGCTGCCTCCTCTTTCTCCCCTCTCTTCCACACAAATAAACCGGCGTTGCACGATGGCGTCGCTGAATGCGTAGAAAATTGGCTTTGCTGCGTGCTTGTAAGGCCTAAAGCTGCACGAGTCCTCTGCAACCATCCCGCTACCCTGAAACCCAGCTCCTGGCTCTAAAAGCACCGTGCATGCTCCCTCTGGCTCTTTCTTTCTCCTTCTCGCTCTCTGGAGAATCCCCCGCGTCTTCATTTTCTTCCTTGCGTTTTAACATGGCAGGGATTAGCCGGCATATCCCTGGTCTTACCACGGCTCAAACAAGCAGGCAAAATGCTCGCTCCATACAAATTGAAATTGGATTTGCCAACTTGACGCCTTAGGTTATAAAGCGTGGATATTCATCTAATTGCGACAGTACAATGGGGGCGTAATTACACGTGCAGACAAACCGTTAGAGTGTAATTACTGTGCCATTAAAACAGGAATAAAGTCGAGCTGAACAAGATCCAGACCACTGTGGATGTAGCTAGCTGACATTAGAGAGGAATGTCTCCTTCGCTGACTTCCATGGAGATCGAGCTCCAGGTCCTCGGGTGTTCTGACCATGTACGCTGTCCGTCATCTTCAGCTGCCTTTGCGACAAAACTCGAAAACTATTTCAAATTTCCCCAGTTTTCTGTAAAACATGGTGTCGGGGCGAGCAAACTGCACCATGTGACCCCCTAAAATAAAGAACGATGCATTTGCTGTCATCACGACTGCACACTTGGGTTTGGAAGCAGTCGTGAAGCCTGGACTGAGCATGCTCAGTGTTGCTGCCAGAGCTGAAGATGCGCTTGTCAGTTTGTGAAGGATTAACTGACAGCGTACAAATAAATAAAGAATTAAAAATAAAGAATAAAAACACGACACGAGCTGCCGTCTGTTTACTGTGAAGTCCTATTTTTCCCTCCAGTGTCAGTGAAGCAGCGACGTGAGGTCTAAAGTCAAACGTGACGTGTTTACAGTGAAACTCGACGCGTCTGCCCTCGAACTGAAACTGAAAACCAAAGAAAGTAAAAATGCACGAATGATACAAACTGCGAGCAGCTGGTTTCCTCTGGCGCTGGTAAATTACAGTCAGGCCTCCCTGTTTTTTATTAGCTGGTTTTCCTCGCTTGTGTAACGTAAACAGACATCGCGGCGACTGCGAGGAGCACCGGCACAGTAAAGGTGAACTCCTCCTCACCTCATTTGGCCGGCAGGTGTCGGCAGGGTGGTGCTGGTGGATTCGGGGATCGGGTTTGGCACCCTCTGTGGAGTAATCTGGCCCTGCACGCAGAATCGTTAAAAACAGGCGCTTTGAATCGAGGCCAGCCCTCGGTGAAAGATAATATATGTGTGTAAAAGTATGCGCATTAAAAAATAATGAATTACGGCTCTTTCCCCCGTTCCTTCGCCTGTGCGGATGACTTTGTCTTTGTAATTGACATCCGCTCCTCGCACTATTCTTCTTCGCTCTATAATCAGAGAAGTCGTGGTTACAAAACCTGAGCTTTCTGCCCCCCGCTCATTTGAAGAAGTCTGGCCTGTCATATCTGTATTTTTTATGTGTCACCAAACTTAAATAGACAGTCATTGTGTTACAGGCACATTCATTCCCTGAGCTGTATTTTTGTACAGTAGGTCAGGACTCTGGTGTCTGCTAAATGATAAAAGTTCTATTCAAACGCACTAATTGTCAGTGTGCTGCTCTGATTGACATGTCTCGGATAAATGCAGACTTAGTATTTTTGTACACGCTTGCACAATATAAAAGGCCAATTTATTTCTCTGTTCTTCTTTCTCATTTGATTTCTTTCTTCCTTTTCTCCTGCTCTCTGCCTCTCTGCCCTACCCCGTCTCTCAGACTCAATTTGTAAATATTACCACGGCAGGAATTAGCCCGGGCCTTTTTTAAGACAAATTTCAGTCGTATTCCAACGACGGAGGCTCCTCGGCATTCCTGGGTGGCTATCGGCGTCTAGCCTCGTCCTTATGAAACATTTATCGGCCCGTTTTATGTCTTAATGATCACGTTAGGATTCCCCGCTCGGTTACGAAGCCGGGACGGCGATGCCGAAGGAGAGGAGATGAAAAAATGACAGAGGGGGAGATGACAGGGCATCACAGTCCTCGGTAAACAGCGGCACATTATGCCATCCACTCGTTTCAACTCCAAATCTGTGCCAGAACACAGCTTACCTCTGCACACACACACACACACCCTCTGTCTTCCCCATTT